AAAAACAGCCCCATGGTTGGGCCACGGCCGAGATGTCTCGGCCACACCCCAGACTGGCCACGGCCGAGATGTCTTGGCCACACCCCAGACTGGCCACGGCCGAGATGTCTAGGCTACACCCCAGATTGGCCACGGCCGAGATGTCCCGGCCACAACCGAGATTCGCAGGCACTACCCTTCACAGGCAAACGTGAAGTCTCAAGAGAGGGGCAGGGATGGAGGCCAAAAAAAAAAAAAGAAAATAAAAAAGTAAAGAAACGAGGAACTTTGAATCTACCCCCCAAAAAAAAAGAAAGGAACTTCGAATCCACCTACATCGGGAAGGCCCTCAGGTCACCAGTGCTTTGAGGAATGTATCTGGCCAGGAAGTGAGGAACATGAAACAGGTCGTTTTCGTTTTTTGTTTCTTGCTGTGAGGTCCCTGTAGCGTCCTGCCAGCCAGTCAGGGTGGATTCGACGCTTCATTGAGTTCCTGTAGCATCCTGTATTAGCATCCTGTATTGGACCGCAATCACAGCATAAGGGATGATTTTGTTTTTTGTTTTTTGTTCATCTGCTATTCGTGGATAGACGAGGGCCCTGACTGAACTGCTAGGGAAAGGAAGCCCGAGTTTCAACTGCAATTGAAACTTGGGCCCTGACTAAACTGCTAAAACGGAGTTTCAAATGCAATTACAATCTGTTTTGGTGACTGCCCCGAAGTTACCCCAAAAAAAAAAGAAACAGAGACCTCCCGCCTGAATCACCGCAGAGTGCTTCCCAGCCATCAGATCACAAATGATCTGATGGTGTTGGTTGCAACAACAGTGCAGAAAGTAACTGCCACATTTCTGGAATAAACTCCACTTCTGTCAGCAGTGATCCTGATGCCCTCCATATACTCCGTGATTGAAGGAGGGCTCCACCGAATGAGATAATTGCACAATAGCAAGCAAAATACTGAAAATCTTCTATCCAGTGGGCCTATGGCCGACCCCCTCTCTTTTGGGTTTGGCCATGCCCCCAAGGGATTGAAAAGATTTTGGCCGGACTTTGCACGGGCATGCCCAGTGTTAAGGAGAGGAGGAGGGGAACCAAGATCTCCTTACTTTTTAGGGTAATACATGTAAAATACTGACCGTGGGATCACCAGTACTGCACGGCAGGATTTGGGTCACTCAACTGCCACACAAACTCTTTTCTATCCTATCCGGTTGCTAGTGGGACCATGCCCCTGGTCTGTCCCAATTCCTGCCACTCAACTGCCACACAAACTCTTTTCTATCCTATCGGGTTGCTAGTGGCACCATGCCCCTGTCTGTCCCCGAAGAAATCTGTGGTGGGGCTCAGGGTGGGCGAGTCTCATAAATCTTAGTTTTCTTTTGCCTGCGCGTGAAAGAAAAAGGAAAAAAAAAAAGCTTATGTACTGCAATGATGTCGGGCAGGGTAGTCTAGGAGGCTGTGCTCACAGTCTTCGTCTACAGAATGCGTCCTACAGCAAAGCCTATCACATTCTGAAACTGGTTGTTTTCTTTTTTAATTTCTCTTTTGTTCATTATGAGTCCCCTGCCAACGAGGAAGGGCGGAATCCATGATCTGCTCTGGATGTGTTTCCTCAAAGGATTGTAACCCTGATGTATCCAGCCATTTTCATGGCCAAATTCGTGTTTCCATTTCTTTTTTTTTTTTTTTTTT